CAAATGAAGATAAAACTAATTACTATTATAATTAGACCGCAGATTTCATGCATTTATGAGAAAAATTCATAGATCGAATACAAAACTGTGAACAAATTACGTGAATTTAAGGATGTTATTGCATTACTTTCAACTTGTTACAATTATTAAATGGGGAAGAACAGTTTCATCTAACTTATGTTTTCTCACAATTAATCCAAACAATTTTTATTTCGCATAAAGACCCGCAGTCTAGTTATGACTCATTATAAAGCATCAAAAAGCAGGAATGTATTATCGATGCTTGTTGGTGAGTTTATTTCAATTATTTAACTGTGTCTTTAATCAATTTCAATCTGTTTACTAAGCTTTAAGAAGTTTTATAAAAGATATTTAAAAATGTTAAACTCTTGAGACTTCTTTTGCATGGAAGCTGAAATTGTTGGGAAGAATATGAATGGTTATTTCAAGTTTTACTTCTGGTGACTTTTAAGTTAGTGTGATTTTTATGAAACGTGCTTTCGAAGTTTTAACGGCCGCGCGCCGTGTTCAACGCTCGTCGCTGATCGTTCGTATCCAATTTCAAAACAGATCACAATTCGCAGATATTTCTGATGATCTGAGAAAAAAATGTTTCCAAGAAAAGTTGATCAGCATACACTTCTCCACAAATTAGAATATAAAAGCTTGCAAACGAAAATTCTTTTTATAAAAAATGCTGGTCACCTCGATTTTTTAAATGTTGATACACATTTTTGGCTTGATAATATCGTAGCTGATTTTGAGACGAATGCAACGACCTGCTATACTATTAGGTCATTAAGTATGAAATGCATATTTTATTGTATAATTTTAATGTAAAATCTATGTATACTAAAACAAGGTTAAAGTAATTTAACAGAGCGAATTCCCAGACCGCTGTGCACCGATCCAATGTGAAATAAACATCGATGCTATCAATCCTCCCTCAAACGTGAATGAAGTTCCTCTCTTACTGTCCTACTGTCTTATTCTCTTGTTCTCCATCGACCATTGTGTTTACAGCAGTTGTTTATGTCAGTCGACCTTAAGTGTGTTCTACGATTTTCACAATGGAAAAAGCTGTCGAGGAAAGAATTTGTCTTCATTGTTACATTGTCAAAAAAATTTTTAGTGATCCTACGTTCATGAAACGCATCGTAACTGACAATAAAACATGGGTTTATCTGACTATGTTAAACGATTATCCGATAATAAGAAACATTTTTCTGAAGAAATTATTTTTCTTTCGTAACAATGTTAGGTGGGCTCAGACAAAAAACTCTTAACACATCGAGTGTTGACAATCGACACCAAAAAAGAGAGAGAGAGAGAGAGAGAGAGTTCCCCAAAAATCGAAGAAACTTAATTAATGAATTAGTTATTATAGTGGATGTTATTTAAACTCTTTTTTATATTCTATCCTATATACACCCTAGCAAAATTCAGATTGTTCGAATATATTGCAATGAAAATGAATTTTTAAGACTAGAAAAAAAAATTAGCGTCACTCATATGTGACCGACACGGCGTCCACTTTTTAAGGGAATATTTTTGCTCAAAGCAAATTATTATAAACATTTCTTAAAATAAAATCTATTTACAAGACGTAAGCGTGAACTTCAGCTATTCGCAACACACTCGAATGAGGAAATCATGAAGTCTACAAATTCTAAGACAATATTGATTCTCCAAAACTTATTATTAGATAGAAATACGTATGTACATTTCGACTAATAAATTTCGATTCCGAATGTACGGTCACTTATTTTTTAACCGATTACTAACATTTAATATGATTACTGGTAATTCTCAATAGACCAATTGGATCGTTAACTGATCCGCGAGTTTCGAGAATTATCGTATTCACACGAGATAAAGCATTGTTTATAGTTGTTCGATACACTGCCCATAAAAGACCCAAGATGGTACATTCACGTTCGCAAGTTAACTCCTTGCACTACGATTTCTTCCACGCTACGTTGATTAGCACTTCTCCGTCCTTAATCATTTCCCTGATAGAACGAAACAATTTTTATTTCTTATACAGTTTTCATTTACTTCCATTTCTCCAGACTTTGATAACAGAAAGAATTAAATTTTGTTTCGATTTCGAAGAAATTAACCGTTTGCACTCGAGTGGCGACTCTGAAGCGACGTTAAAAATTGCAACGTTATTTTTAAAAGAATTTCTACATTATTATATTTTTCTATATTCGATCAATTGTCGAATAATGTAAGCCTTCTGTAAGCATACACGTTCAATTTTATATGTAATCAAATAAAAAAGACAATCATAACAAATAGAAGTACTGTAGGTTGAAACAAATTTCTCCATTTTGGAGTTAAAATAGTACAAAGGATTAATATGGAGTGCAGAGGTTTAATAACATTCATATTTAGTAGATCTTGTATGAAAACTTCGTCACGTGTCTTGCTCATTATTATAGCACCTCTATAATTTTCATAAATTATGGTTTTTGAGGATGATAGCTTACACATATCCTCTTGCAAGAATGTATAATTTATATGCATACGTAATAAAAAGCATCCACCATTTGTTGCTAGCTAGGATAAAGTGCCCTTTCGTATCCTAAAGTCTTTCTTAGGTCTTATCTAACGCTAGATCAATTTTTGTCTCACGAGGTTAATACAATTGGATTAAAAGATCGCAACGAAGATATGCAATTAAAGGTTTTATAAAAGTTCATTGAAGCAAACTAGAAAATATATAAAACAGAATAGAGCTAAAAATTCGATCAATAAATTACACCGACATCAAAATCTTCATTCATAAATTAGAATTAAAGAAAAATTTCCATCGTAAATTAAAAAAATTACTCGTTGTAAAAATAATACAAAGATGTCATTGGACATTGATCATTTAACTACCTGCAGATACCATAAATGTATAAAGATTCGCAGCTTAATAATTAATAAAAAAAAACTTGTGTCTCTGAAGTGGGTTCTAACATTTTTTCCGACATGCTTTTCACATAAGTCGATATAATTGCTTTGAAACGCCATAACGAGTGGTCATTTTCTATCGTACAATACTAGAAAAATATTACTGTTTATGTACATGTGTGTAAAATCATACTAAATATTATTAATTTGTAGAAATACGAAAAACGCGAGTGGTGCTATTATACTGTCACGGGGTATAGGTTTTTTATTTATAATCCGACAGTT